GCTCTGTGCCTGAAGCACTTGGGGCTGTGCCTGCAGCACTTGCTGTTGAGCAGATGAATCCGAGTCGCTCTCATTGTCTTGAGGGCTTGGGATGCTGGGTGATGTGCTCCGGTTATCCTGGTCGATGTCCTTGGGATCGCTTGTCTTGAGGGCTTGGGATGCTGGGTGATGTGCTCCGGTTATCCTGGTCGCTGTCCTTGGGGCTCTCGCCTTCGCCCTCACCCTCCGAGGGAGAGTTTGGCCTGCTGATCTCCTGCAGGGAGAGGGGGAAGAACCACCACCACGTGTGAGAGAACTGCACAGAGAACACGACCAGCGTGGCACAGGATGCGCCCCATCACAGCAGCTGCGCAAGCACAAGTGCAAGTACCACCCTCCAAACCCCACAGGACCTGAAACAGCACAGGCAGCACCACTATCCAGAGGGACAACGACAGTGGAGCCAGGCTCTTTTAGTAGAGTCCAGTGGCAATGGGCACAGACTGAGATAGAGGAGGTTCTGCCTGAACATCATGAAACACTTCTTCACTATGGGGGTGACCAAGCCATGGAACAGGCTGAGGACTCTCCACCTTTGGAGATACTCAAAAGCCACCTGGTAATGGTCCTGGGCAGTCAGCTCTAGGTGGCCCTGCTTGGGTGGCCTAGATCCTTTCCACCTCAACCATTCAGTGATTCTGTATTATGGAAAGCTCAGTGCCCAAATTCCCAAATCCTGTGCACAGAGTGCAGCTGGCCAGGTACACGGAGCTGGAAAGACATCCTGGAAGGATTTCAATTGATACCATTAAGAGAACACAGTGGTGGTGGTCTAATTCGGTCTAAAAAAATTGGGGAAAGAAGGTGGAAAACAATCCAAGTAAACTCCTACATGGTTGATACTGGTATGAAAACAAACAAACAGCAAAAACACTTCTAGACTTACCCCGTATCATCCCACTGTTTTTCAGCAGAAGGAACACATCACAGTATTGGTTGCTTTCCAACCACAGATTAAGTTACAATTTGCTGTGGCTTAAACTGATTTCATGTTGTTGGTTTGCACCCTCCTCACCCTCAAACCATTCTCCTGAGAGAAAAATATTCCTGTGGGAGACTCACTTGAGTTTTGGATTTTTTGGCATTGGACCTGTCAGGTTCCTCTGTGTCAGAAGCTGCCTTTTCCCGCTGCCTCTTGGAGTTCTTGAGAGGAGAAGATACCTCTTCTTTTATCTTCTGCCACAAATGAAGCAGAACACAACAGTTACCAGTGATGTGAATGCAGAAGTACACTGAGCATCGCTGACACAAATAAACAAGAAGGGCTCCCATGGAGCAGGAGAACTCACTGGAGTCTGAGGCAGTCACTATCTAACAACAATCCCATACGCATCTGTCTCTCTGTCCACTTACAGGTGGCAGGAGAATCTGTTCTGGAGCTGCTGCTGCATTCTGCCATCTGCCAGGAGCAGCTCCCAGAAGACTTGCATCTACGTAACCCGCCCCAGGCCTCTCCGTCTGGAAGCCAAGTGTAAGAGAGAACGCAACCATTCCTCAGGTTTACTTCCCAGACAGAACCCCAAGGGGAGCTTTGCACACAAACCCATCACACATCTCTGACACAAGCTAGTAGGAAAAAGGAACAGCGAGTAAAGCATTCCTCATTGTGCAGATGTGGTCTCGAGCTGAAAGCGAAGGAAGGTTTAGGAATACTTTAAACAGAGCAGTTGTCTCCAGCTACGATGAATCAAGTCCATCAGAAACTCCCACCAGATCAACTGGCCCAGAGTACTCTCCTAAGAGCTCAACAGAGAGGATGGAGCAAGGCTTTCTGCAGTAGGCAGGCACAGGATAAGCCTCCTTCTACTACTCCTGATATTTTGAGAGGGATATTTTTATATCCCCTCAAATACAGGGCTAACAGTGAGTAGCTATTACAAGATTACTACCTTCTTTCATGGTCTAAACCAGCTTTATACATCACATAATTACCTAACTCCCAATTTTGCTAAGTTCTCAGTTTCACCATGTGAAAACATGCTCCATTCTCCGGCTTTGGCCTGTGGGTTATTCCTAAATACTTATTTTTAACTCGCTGCTTTTCAATTTACACTGCTTAATGGCAAGCCGTCCCACATCATCTGCCTTTGGTTCCTCAGGACTCTCCTGGAAAGCACTTACTCATTGAAACACACTAAACTGTCAGCTTGCTCTGAAAAACCAAGCAAATACACGTACAGAAACCCAGTAACAGAAGTAGCCTGAAGTAGTACCTATTTATATGCCTTTGTAGACAAAGATTAAGTACTGCTTAAAAAACAATCCCTAAACTGCCTACTTGTCTCAAATAGAGCATTTCTGAGCTGTATTATTTCCAAGCATTTGCATCCAAAACTGAAGGATTAATTTAACATGAGAGCAGCAGGGTTACGTGGTGTTATCACTACGCATCCTCATGTACAGGAACAAAGCCTCGCTCACATTCACCATTCCACTTCCTGCTTACCCACACAGGTAGGAATTTCTAGGTCACTGCGAGATTCCTCGGCTTCCTAGAACCTGGATCTCACTCCTCTGACTGGGGAGGCCTCAGGCAGCCAAGTCCTAACCCAAAAGGCGAATGGGCCATTCTTACCTTGGCTGATTTCTTCACTGAATCCGCTTTGCTGTCGTTACTGGAGGTGCTGGCGGCGCTGGGAGAGTTGCGGCCGCTGGAGCGGATGTCTTCATTGATGGGGGAGGCTCTACCATCAGGGCTGGCTGGCTGCTTCTTACGACCACTACGTAGTGTAGACATCTGTGTTTAACAGAAACAAAAGTGTACCAAGTCAGCACTTGTCCAACCCCTTTATGTTTTACCACCTTACAGCAGGGGCAGGGATGAACGCTCCTGCTGAGAGCCTGAAAAATCAGTTAAAAGGAGGCAAATCCTTAACTTCTCTACTCAAAACCATGAAGCGCTGATTGTTTTATTTAGTGTTGTCTGCTAGAAATGACATTAGAAAGATATTCCAAAGCTGCTCCTGTTCGCATGCTTAATTTTCTTCATAAAACACATGCAAGCACATTTGCAAGCGTTCATACACACACAGAGAAAGAGGTAGGAGAGGAACCTCATGTTCCACTAATAAAGGTCTATCTGTTGCATTCAAGCAGACAAGACCAGTTTCTAAACCCACAGTTTCAGTGTGCTCCTGCAATGCAATAAGGAATCACAGTAGAGTGTATTCCAATAGTTAATGCTGTTTCTTTCCCAGTTTGGCAGTTTTCTGGGTGACTGGCTACCAAAAAACAATGAAGCCAACCTTATCTGACAGCGCAGCCTCACAAGGTGTTTAGAGACAGTAGTCATATCACCGTGATCAGAAAGACAGAGAGGGGAGGGCAAGGAGAAGAAATGTATCTGCTGCTTTCGATCAGCCAAAACCCACAGGAAACATGAGATTAACCAGAGCTGCTGTCAGAGTTCTCACAGGTGACTTGCACACTGTGAGGCTCCCGGCATTTCACCCCCAGTGAACGCTCTGACAGAGCACAAGCCACAGGAGCAAACTACAGTTGAGGAGACCCATGAACAGCATGTCATTTTTTAAATGAAGCATTTCAGCCTTTAAAACAAGCCCAAGGGCTCACCTCTGACAGGATCCAGCTGGAAGGAGCACACATACCAGTACAAACTCTGGTCAAGTGCCCACTATCGTGACAGTTCACTGCTGGTCACTGAAATCCCTCAACTGTCTGCTTGCATAAGACATTTCAGCTCCTTTTCCCAAAGAAAGCCTCAACCTCAGCAAACCCCACGCTCACATACACAAACGCAGCAGCAGACACACACCATGGCAAACAAACACGACAGAGAAAGCATCACATTTGAAGTCTGACTTCCTTTTTCCAAACAACACCTCCTCTTCAGAGAGGAAGCTGCAACGCAAAGTGTTAACCTACCGAGCCTCGACTCCTCCTTGTCCTCATGCTATGCTTTCCACTAAGTCCATCATCTTCCTCTTTGACAGGCTTAAACATAAAGGGTGGAGGGTCCACGGGCTTCTCAATGGGTGGCAGCTCTCCGTACTTTTTGAAGTGAATGCGACAATCGGTGCACAGTAAGATGTTCTCTCGTCCACCGTGGTGCCAGTCCTTGGAGGCTTGGGGCAGGAGAAGCAACAGCTTAGAGACACGTGATGGACCAGACACTCAGCACAAACACACTGTTCATTAAAAGGCACACAGTTAGAAAAGTAGCTGCTTTCCCATGGGCAAAGTTGGAGAAACTTCTGGAAAACTCTGCCCTGTTCCAGTGCACATCTTCAATATTCCATTTACAAACTATTAAGCCACTACAGCTTTGAACACAAAGAATGAAGCCTTATCTGCTCTACCTGGGAGCTGACAGGCAGCTCCCGTTCTCCAAAGCTGTGGTTTCTTCAAGTGAAGTGAGCTATGAACTTCTCATTTCCTTCCCTATTTTGAGGCTCACATTTCTGTAGAATCCCAGCGTGGTTTGGGTTGGAAGGGACCTTAAAGCTCATCCAGTTCCAACCCCCTGCCACAGGCAGGGACACCTTCCACTAGAGCAGGTTGCTCCAAGCCCCTGTGTCCAACCTGGCATCAAGACTTCCAGGGATGAAGCATTCACAGCTTCCTTGGGCAGCCTGTTCTAATGTCTCACCACTGTAACAGTAAAGAACTTCCTTATATCCAACCTACCACGCCATGCATATGCCCAAATACCAGACAACCTTCGGGAATACCCACAGGAATGGGGCTGCTGCAGAAAAGATTTGATGCAGCATAAAGAAACGTTGTGTGTGACAGTCACAGCCCAATATTGATTTGCTACGTCACAAACTGATTATATATGTTATAGATTATGTAGATTTCTTCCTGTACAAGTATCTACCTCTCGGAACTCTCTTTTGCCACTACAGTATTAATTTGCAATGGCAAAGCACGATGATTCTGCTGGGAATGCTGCATATTTTAGCTGATTCAACCCCACAGCTTTTTGCACAGCTGCACATGCAAACAAACTGCTCTTGCTTGAATGAACCTGCATCAACCAGGCAGCAGCAGAAGGGCGGAAATACAGCAATGAATCAGGTGCATACTGGTGGTGAAGCAGTGCCGACAGGCGTAGCCCTTCAGTTCCTGCTCGCTGTCCTCGCTGTCAAAGTCATCTTCACTGGCCGAGCTCAAGTCCACTGAAGAGGTAAAGAACAAGGGAAGAAGAAGAAAATGGAACATAAAAACTCAGCAGGATTTTCTATTTCCTCCTACTTGGCTAAAATAACCATCGATAACAGTTCTCGCATAAATCTGGTGATTTCCTACAGCCACCTTGCCTTGGATGGCTGTTAGTCCTCATTCTGCAAACCTCGCCAGCCCACAGACTTAGGGAGGATTCCAGGAATGCACCAAGTGATACAATTCACACAACTTCTGATTCACTACATGGTACTTTTCCAGTTGTCATTCAAACACTGTTGATGCTGAGAAAGGCTGTGTTCCAAAAAAACTATTTTCAAGAAAAAGGAGGTTTCTCCCTAGAATCTGGTCAAATTTCAAAGCAAATATTCTATACCTAAATCCTACTTTGCTTCCATGGACAGAACCTGTGGTGGCTTTTCTGGTTTCTATTCTGTCTCTAGACTTCATCTTCTAAAACAGATGGTCACTGCTGTTACACTCTGTTAGTGGCTATATTTAAACCAAGAGCTGGATGTGTTTTGTAGGTGGAAGAAACAACCCTTGCATGTAATGTACCTGTCTGAAAACCAGGCTGTGATTCTTTTGGATGAGAGGCACTACAAGGACACTACCAGCTTTCAATCCTTACTGCAAGCTTAAGAGTTAACATGTGGCAAACTTACATTTCAAGAATGCGGTGTTTCAAAGACATGGAGAACATGGACAGGGTCACTTCCCTTTGTGGCCTCTGCAAAGCTGTGAGCTAAAAAGCACCATCCAAACCACTGAAAATCTGCAGACATCACAGAAACTGGATCTTCTCTCATCTTCTAAAACAACTCAGGATTAAATCTTGCTCACTGAGAGTTCTGCATTTTTCTAGCACCACCACTATGAATCCACAGCATAACAGGGCTGTAATTTGTCACAAGCAGAAAGCCCTGTGGCTCCTTTTGTTCAAATCTTTAATTAGAAGAGAAGTCCTTGATGCAAGAATACTGTTTTTCTAAAGGTTCCAAGAGGGTATTTTGTAATACATGCAGGTTGGGGGGAGGGAGGGATTTACAGGACTTGCCATTAGCCTTTGTCATCAGCTCATTACCCTTCAAATTAACACAGGGTCCCATTTACTAACAGTAGCTGCAAGTACCACCATCGTTTCTACATTAATTCTTGCAGGTGTTTAAACCCTGACTGCAAAATTAACACCAGGCTAAAACTTGCTCTCTTTTACTAAATTGATTTGTATTCTCATCCTGCAGTCGGATCCATATGGATGTGTCCTTCCAGCCTGATGTGCTCTGAAATGCTGAGTATCTTGGATCGAGCTGTACAGTCAGGATCCTCGCTTCTTGTGCACACAGAAATCAGCAGTAAATCCCATCAATCCAGCAAGGCAAAGCTAACAGCCCTTCCTTACTACCTCACTACTACTACCCTCTCCAGAATTCCCTGTCCTGCCTCCTCACCACATCCTCTGCCTCCTCCGGATTAGTAAGAGTCTGACAATTACTGCCTTCTACAGAGTGTTTTCTCTTCAGAAGGTACATGAAATGTGCTGGGTTTAGTCCACAGAAAGTCTTAAATCTCACAGGGAAACACAAGCCTTTTCCATATGGATAAAGGTTTATACATCCGCAAGGGCACTGCTAATCACAACCCTTTGCAAAGCAGAACATTTCACTGGTTTGGGTAACTCTTGTTTAGACACTTCTGCTTTAGTCAAGACCAAAGTTCTTCCAAGATGCATTAAGATACAACAGGCCTGGCTGCAGCACACAGTCTGTGATCACGCAGAAGGTATGGATCACTAAGGAAGGATGAAAGGGACATCCTTCCAAAGGATGAAGCACTTCCTTCTTTTTGCATTTTCTAATTCCCATCACTGTAATAAACCTGGATAAAGTACAACACAAACCCAAGAAAAAAACAGGGAAATTCAGTACCAGGGCAACGTTTCCATCCTTACAGGATGCTTTTATGTTTCAAGGACTACACAAAGCATTTGGTGATCAAAGATGCCTACCATATTCCAGCATAATGGTATAGGAACAGGAGAGGGCAACTGCCTGAATTCCATTTCCTTGCTTCAGTCACTCCGAGGCACAGCACCATTACATTACTGTTGCTCCCTGCATCTAAACAAAGATAAATGCATTGCTTTTAGCTTCCACTTACAGAATTCACTGGAGGGGGGCCTGGAGGGAGTGTTGACGGGAGTGGAAGCAGTTCGAGTTTTAATTCTCCGAAACACAGCCTGTCTCCGATGCCTACGGTGGGCTCGAGAACTCGCTGCTTCAGGGGTTTTCTTCCAATAGTAATAGAAGGTGATTAGTTCTCCCTGCAAATACAGAAGGAGTATGTTAGAGGGGCATGCAAATCTGACTTGTCAGCTTTTTTCCCTCCCTTTTGCTCTCTGTAGGAAGCTTCAATGATGTATTTCAGGCAGAGAAAAGAATTCTTTAGATACGACAGGAAAAAACCAACCAATCCCTCATTATTTTTCTCTTTGCTATTGCGGGGCGGGGACAGGAAGTACACAAATGCCTCCTCAGTCCTCCCCTCGGCCCCTGGAAAGGAAAAGAGGTTGGGAAGTGTGAATCCAGCTGGATGCTGGGGGTCTCAGTGATTCGAGGTGGGGGGACCCTTGCCTTGCTGTCAGCACCCCATTGACACCTCTGCACAGCTCAGGAGGCCCAGTGTCTGGAGAGGCACCACCTTGCAGCGAGCTGTGACAGCAAGTAACTGCTCTCAGAAGTCCATGGTGTTTACAGAAAGAACAAGGATCCATTCAAACAGATGCTGCCATTTTATCAGCCTCCATCACCATGTTCCCACTGAAGAACACCTTCGACAAGAAGTCTATAACCATAACCCATCGCTGCTACCGTAAATCGTGTTTTAATTTGAATATAGAGGCCCACATCTAAATTAATTAAGCAGTTAAAAGAGCACACCTAGAGAAATGAGTGATAATTTCACAGCATAATGAATCTGGCTGACGTTCAAACAGTGGAGCAGCTGCCATTCAAGCTAGCGGATGCACTGCCGAACCAAAGAACAGCATGTGGTTTTAATCTCTTTTCTCTTCCTTTGAAACCCCATCATTTCCTGGCGACTTGTCTGCCTCTAAGGTAAAAGGTGTTGTTTTCTTTTAAGTTGCAAGAGAAAAAAACAGAGAAGTTCTAACCAGCCCCTTGGAAAAAAAAAGTCAACATCAGAACAAACATACCTGAATTGCCCACAAAAAGGGCTTCTTTGAACTGTGTTTTATGTGATCAAACAACATAACCTCAGCCTGCTCCCTCTGTGGGGAAATCCTGCAGCCCAGACTCAGGGCAGATCACTCAAGTTAACTCTAATAAAGACACACCCTTCATCTAAACTCTCCCAAGGGCCTCAAACAAGCAATTACAGCCACAACCAATACCTGCACCACTGAAACACTTGAAAGACAAAAGGAGGATGTTGTTCTAGACATTAACTGCCAACGTTCAAGACACTTAAGAATTTTACCAATGACCAATTTAAAAATAGAAACACCACAAAGAATTTAACCACAGCTTTGATTTCTGGCAAGAGACAGAATAGATGCATTTTTAATCTGTGCTGCTACAGCCTGGGAGCGATGCCACTGACCTGCTGCTGCAGACGTGAACAATATCCACACCAAACTGTGCTCAGAGGTACTTGGTGAGGAGGAATAAGAAGGGGGCAAAAACACTGACTCACAGAATTCTTTGTGTTGAAGGGAGCTTAAAGCTCCTCCAGCTCCAACCCCTGCCACAGGCAGGGACACCCTCCACTAGAACAACCTGCACCCGGGCCTTGACCACTGCCAGGGAGGGGGCAGCCACAGCTTCTCTGGGCACCCTGTGCCAGCACTTCAGCACCCTCACAGGGAAGAGCTTCTGCCTCAGAGCTCATCTCAGTCTCCCCTCTGGCAGGTTAAAGCCATTCCCCTTGTCCTGTCCCTACATCCCTTGTCCAAAGCCCCTCTCCAGGTTTCCTGGAGCCCCTTTAGGCACTGGAGCTGCTCTAAGGCGTCCCCTTCAGGAGCCTTCTCTTCTCCAGCTGCCCCAGCCCAGCTGTTTTCATAGGAGAGATCATTACCTACAATTGTTGATTCTAAAGGACATAAGCCCTAAAAACCAAACCCACAAAATAAAATCCCAGCCTCCCAAACTCTTTCCTGAATAGAATCTAAACCCAAAGGTGGGCGCAGGCTGGCAATGAGCATTCCAGCCATGGCAGACCTGGGAAGAACAGGGTGTTCCGACACCCAGCACCCTTCTCTGCTGCTGCGTGTTTGCTTTAGAAATGCCATTTTGCTTGGAGTCCTTTAAGTGGGCTCAAAGTCCAACAGGCACAACTGTTTGTCAAACAGGGTTATGACCTGTGCCAGAAGCTCTGCAGAAAAGCTCATGCAAATGCTTTTCAGAGGTAGAAAGTCTCCTGCAAATGAAACCAGCCACATTTTACCTATAAATTGTGAGACCCTCCCAAACCTGCTGTCACGACTGCATAAAACTGAAACAGAAGTTTATTCAACAACTAGTTTTACCCCATCTATGAAATGTGGATATACTAAAGGACTAGAGAATACTCTGTACTCCAAATTCATCATCAGGCTGCACAGCTCCATGACTCAGTGAATGACTCAGCTGACAAAGATGGACAAGAACAAGTCAGACACGACACGTACACAGCGAACACTCGTGTTATATGCACACAGATGTATCCTACACTGAAAAAATTCCATGCCAGATCTTCTCAGCTGCCTGGCTATCTAATATTATATTGTCTACCAAAGGGATTAAATGCTGGAGTGGAGTGAGTCTGGAAGGATTAGAAACAGCATACTGGTGACTGCATGGGGGGCAGAAGCTTGAGCACAAAGGAGTAAGTCAGGAAAGCTTTGGTTCTACAAACAGGGAGTAAAACCAGCTTCCAGCTTCACTGCAAGTGAAGTCAAATGAACTTTAATCAAACATGCATAGTGTGTGCTGCCGAAACCCATCGCACATAAATCCAGGGAACAAAAGCTGCTGCAGAAATCAATAGCCCACTGAAACATTAACACTGGCAAGCATTGATCAAAGAGCCCTTTACAAAAGGCAGCCTTGCAAATTAGCTGCTGGTTCTGCTTGCAAGCAAACAGAAAAGCATAAATGCTGCTGACATGAATGGCCTGTAATGATGATTTTGTTCCTGGCGAGCTCACCTCGCCTCGCCACAAGGTCTCGCAGTCAACACATCCCACATCCCTGTGCTCTGACTGCAAACAGCACCGTGAGCGCAGGCACTCTGGAGCCTGCTCACGGGGAGCAGCTGCTCCGAATGGGATTCTGTGGGTAGCAGGTTTACACCCAGGGGAACGGTCCTAACTAACCACCTGCAGGTGTATTGGATGTCTCCTTTGAAGGCAGAACCTGGGTGTTGCTAGCAACATCTGCACCAAAATCACACCAGAAAAAGCAGAGCGTGTTCTTCACTGCATCACTATATGCATCAGCTTCTGAGGGACACTGCCCTCATTTCCAAACTTCAGAGCTACAATAAGGCAGGGGTGAGACCTGCAGCTACTACCTGTGGTGAGGACTCTGACTTTATACGGCTGCATGTACGTGGATGACCCTAACACAAACACAGATGAGAAACATGAGTGTTCAATGAAGCAGCCCCTCGGAGCACACGCAAAACCATTCTTCAGCAAAGCTCCTGCTCTAATGAATCAGAGCAGCCATCACGTTCCAGATGTTTGGTGGTAACACAGCCAGTATTTTGAGGCAACCTTCCAGCAGGAAGGGTTTCCACGTCCAAATCCCAGCTCCTTTCACCAGAAGCATTAATGCCTCCTGGCCCTGAAACCCACCTCACTTCACACCCTGGTACTGATGTTGCTGACTCAACTGTCCACTGGTATCACTCACCGGCAGAATGCAAGTCCCACACACGTACTCCAACACCTCCCCTCAAATGAGCAGCTCTCATTCCTGTACGGTGCCACATCCAAGAAAAGATGCTTTTAAAGTGCCCTCCTGGACCAGCTCCATCAAGGAACAGCTTTTACATCAGCGTGGGTAGAAGATTCATTTCTCTCCCAATCTGCCTAGCTGCTCATAGTAACAGCCTCCCCTCCACTTGATACACCACCACCTCTCCTCCAAACACAACTCCATTTTTCTATGTTAACATCTGATTAAGTGGCCCAAGCAATTTATCAAATGCATATAAAGCAAAATGAGAGGCATTTCTGAGGCTTTTAATGCCACCTTTCCTCAAGAACATCTACTTTCCCATTCTTGGGAGTTTCACAAGTCAAAGGGGATTCGTTCTTCACTAAAGCCCACGGTTCAGCTTTCATCACCCTTGAAATACATCCAGAGCTCACAACTCAACTCCGTTGCCTTCTCCTGCCAAGGCCATTCCACCCCATGTTGTAAGTACACAGGGAAAAGTGATGCTTTATCTCTTTTTAGCTCTGTTCTAGGGATTATTTTTAAAGAGAAAGAACGGGTTCACATCACTCCTCCCACAGCAGCGTGCAGCAGCGAGCCCTGCTCTGCAATCCAGCTCTGGAGGCTGAGCGGACACAAAGCCCTTGAGTGCCCAGCAGCCCACGTTCCCTAACCCAGCCTGCACTGCACAGGCCATCTCCAGTTGTTAGGAGGTTACTGCCATGGTGCGTGGCACCAGGACCTCCCCTGAAGTCCTGTATCCAGCCCAGGGGCTCCCAACACAGGAGGGACGTGGAGCTGCTGGAGCGAGGCCAGAGGAGGCCCCGGAGCTGCTGCGAGGGCTGGAGCAGCTCTGCTCTGGAGCCAGGCTGAGAGAGCTGGGCTGGGGCAGCTGGAGAAGAGAAGGCTCCTG